GAAGGAAGGAAGGAAGGAAGGAGAGATGGGTGGTATGGGAAAGAAGGAAAGTTAAAGGAAGGAAGGAAGGAAGGAAGGAAGGAAGGAAGGAAGGAAGGAAGGAAGGAAGGAAGGAAGGAAGGAAGGAAGGAAGCTGTGCTGACATGTCACAGAAAGCGTTAAATTTCAGCCCCTCTTAGCAACACCTGATGCTCTTGGCCAAATCCTTCTAGCCTCCTTTATTCTCATCAGGGAGTATAAGAATTTTCAACCAGTAAAACAAAAGGACTTTATCCGAAGAAATAAATGCCATCCCGCTGGATCCCATTCGCTTGCGGAAAGCATGCTGGCAAGGATGCCCCTCCCCTCCTCACTCACCTGGGCAGAAAAATGGCGTTATGGAGGAAATTCTCAAAGACCTTCCGGTATTCGGCTTCCTCCTTCTCAGCCTTCTTCTCTGCTTCGGTCTTTGGGCATTTGCAGCAAGGCCCTTTCTCACCGCCAGACCCTTCCGGCTTGGTGGGCTCCGTGGCCTCTTCCGTATCTATGGTCCCATCAGCGTATCTCCGAATCGGGACTTTGTCTTGGAAGGCGAAAGAGGAGGAGGAGGAGGAGGAGGAGGAGGAGGGGGGGGAGGAGGAGGGGGGGGAGGAGGAGGAGGAGGAGGAGGAGGAGGAGGAGAAAAGGTAAAATCAAAAGGGGTTGGTGGACTAACAATCCAGCAGCAATCCTAAATTGCATTAACAGAAGGATACAATCAAGATCAAGGGAGGTACTAACACCACTCTGTAAAGCCTTTGTAAGACCACACCTAGAGTACTGCGTCCAGTTTTGGACACCACATAAAAAAGATGTTGAGACTCTAGAAAAAATACAGAGAAGAGCAACAAAGATGATGAGGGGACTGGAGGCTAAAACATACGATAAACGGTTGCAGGAACTGGGCATGGCTAGTCTAGGGAGGAGAAGGACCAGGGGAGATGGGATAACAAATATTCCAATATTTGAGGGACTGCCACAGAGAGGAGAAAGGGGTCAAGCTATTTTCCAAAGCATTTGAAGGCCAGACAGGGAACAATGGATGGAAACTGAACCAGGAGAGATTCAACCTGGAAATAAGGAGGAATTTTCTGACAGGGAGAACAATCAACCCATGGAACAGAAGTTGCCCTTGGAAGTTGTGGGAGTGCCATCCCTTGAGACTTTCAAAATGAGATTGGACTGCCATCTGTCAGAAATGGTGCAGGGCCTCCCGCTTGGGCGGAGGGTTGGACTAGATGACCTACAAGGTCCCTTCCAACTCTGATTATCTGTTAGCTGTGACGTTCCCGCTGAAGACATTCTGAGACCAGCTGTTCCTTTCCATCAGTAGCGATGGCTATGTTAGGGACGGGCTTTGCATAACGAGCCAGGAAAGAGGCCCATGGAGTTTAGGAAGGCCAAAGCATCTTCCTCAGGGGTGGGCTGCTACCAGTTCTTCCCGCTGGGGCGAACCTGTTAGGCGAACCGCCAAATTCCACCCCCAGCTGGCCCTTCCCAGGAGTCCCCACGCAACCTGTTTGGATACCAGATAAGTGTGTTGTGGTTCGCCGGCAGGAGGTGTGGATGGCTGAGGTCTCGGAGAGCGAGGACTTGGATGAGGGGCCTGCGTGTGACGCAGGGATGGGGCCAGGACCATCAGGGAGTGGAGTGCGGCCTTTGGAGCTTGTGCGGGCTGGCAGCAATGATGAAGAGGCCCCCGAGGAGCCTGTGCCCAGTACGCGTAGGTGCAGGACTGCTCAAAGGAAAGAGCAGCTGCAGAAACACAGGCGACTCTGGAGTAGGGCTGCAAGGTGATGGCCCCTCCCTTAAGGGATAAAAGCCAGCCCTCGGGGGTGGGATTCTTTGCAGGAAGCAAAGAAGTTCTTGCACTTTGAGTCTTGTGGAAGTTTGGACTATCCTGGTTTGTGTTTTTGATTTTGATTATTTTGGTTTTAATTATTTCCTTGGAGTTTAATCTAATGTTCTTGGCAGCCTTGCACAACCTTGGCAAGTCTTGTTCTTATCTGGGACAATTAGTTTTTAATAGCATTTTACTGCGAATGAAGGTTTTGCTTTTATCCCTGTTTGGTGTTTGTTTGCTTTGAACGAGGCTTGGGTCAGAATCAGTGCCCAACTGTCTGCAAAACAAGTAGATAACTTGGTAACGAATGGTGCAAATGGTCTTGGTGCAAATGCTCTCCGTGGACATAAAAGAAAAGATACATTCGTCAAGAATCAGAAGGCCCAACACTTAATAATAGTCCTAGGGTACAAGAAGCAATCAAATATAAATGGTAAGGACACAGGAAGGATAAGGAAAGTGGTTAAGATGAGGAAAGGCTACCTCAATGCCCGTAGGTGTGCCTCCGTGTCGGTCTTACCTTTGGAGCAGTAGTTATGCCTGTACAGGTAACTATCCTGAGGTTGCTGCTGCCACCTTACAATATAGTAAGACAGGTTGCCATTGGGGTAAGTGGGAGGATTCCATTTCACAATCAGCTGTGAGGAAGAGTTGGAGGCTGAGATGACATCCAGGGGGACAGACGGCACTAGAAGAAAAGCGAGTCAAACCATGGGACTTTTAATGTGTTTATGCCAAGAACTTATCATGAACCGGAGTTCATAAAAAATAATAATAATAATAATAATAACATTCTGTTTTCAGTGCACAGCATGCTCTTCCCTTCTATTCTGGTGACACCCTTGAAAACATCTCAGAAACAAAGCCCAGGGTATTTTATGGTCCCCGGGCCACATCCGGCCATTTTGACTGTCCCCCTCCGGACGGCGCGAGGTCAATTGGAAATCGGAAATCAAACGAAAATAAGTGCACCTCAGGGGTGGGGGAAATAGTCCTCAACTTTCAACTACAATTAGGACTGTGGCTAAGCAGGACAGAAGTTCCATGTGTTGTGCCTGATTTTTACATTTTGGGGGGAGGGCACAGCTATTAAGCCAATTGCTGCAATTGTTAAGTGAATCTGGATACGTGTCCAAATTTTGATCACACGATCATAGGAAGGCTGGAAAAACCGTAACTTTGAAAAAAACGGCCATAAGTCACATTTTTTTCCAGTGCTGCTATAACTGAACAAAATGTTGTAAGTTGAGGACTAGCTGTAACAGGGATTTTCCAGCAAATCAAATCCTCAAGGTTTTGTGCAGAAATGAACATTTCAAAGACACAGCCCATGGCATCGGGGCTACAACAATTAGCTTGCCAAATCATCTAGCATCCAAAGGGATAAATTACTGTGTTTCCCTGAAAATAAGACCTATCCCCAAAAATAAGCCCTGGTTTGATTTTTACACTTGTGCTCAATATAAGCCCTACCGCCCCCATATCGTGGGATATCTTCCACTGACTCACTTTGTGGCGGTGGCACCGACAGCCCCACCCCTTCTGCAGAAGAAGTGGAGCAGCAGCAGGCTCCTGCTGGGTGGGGCTGTCGGTGCCACCGCCACAAAGTGAGTCAGTGGAAGATATCCCACGAAAATAAGACCTGGTGCCTTTTTTTGTGGCAGAACCCCCCCCCTCCACACCGGGTCTTTTTTTCGGAGAAACACAGCAGCAAACTCAAAGCCTAAATTTTTGAGAATACTCAAATCATTGTCCCGCTAAGTTGAACAACTAAGAGAGATACCCAAGAAAAACAAACATTTGCTTTTTGCTACCTTAATTATGATAGGAAAATACAAACTCAGTGCACCACAGACGCTTTTTGATTTTGCAAAATTTTTGTTTTTGTTTTTATTTCTATTCTGGCCAACGTTACACCTAACCCCAGTATATTGCAGTAGGCCTCAATGTTTTAGCAATAATGCACGCCGTTGTTTTCCCCAAAAACACTCCATACAAGCCCAATTTTTACACATCCCTGTCTGAGTCCCATTCCAACTGGCCTCTTCGGCTCAGTTCGGGTAGATAAACATCTATAATTCTGTCACCAAGGCAGATATTATATTCTAAGCTGCCTAGGAGTTTGCCAATTAGGTGGCACACGAATGACCTCAAGCAAATAAATAAATATTATTCCCACCCTCAGAAAGAACTTCATTCAAGATGATTAAATGCTGTTGGATATATCCCTGGGTTGATTAATCGGACAATTATCACCTCACTGCAGTGCCCAACTTTGGAGGCCATTAAATTCTGGCAGGCAGAAGTAGACTACCAACAGCCATCAACTTTGGAAGGGTTTGGGGTTTTTTGGTTTTTTTTGATACACTAACAAGAAACAGAGATCCCAAATAAGCAAACTGAAAAGGACCAATGCCAAGAACAACTGTTCATCCATTAAAACCCTTTGCCACTGAAAATCAATTCCATATGATGGCGAGTGCGCCCTCTCATTCGCCCCCCCTCGTCTTTCTGCACCAAACGCTCTCCGAGTTCAGCATGGACGACTTCAAGAGGTCCAGGTCATAAAATCATTGGGCTAGAAGGGACCTTGGAGGACTTGTCATTCAACCCCACTGCTCCAGGCAGGAGACCTGATTGCATCCCGGACCAAGGTTGGTCCAGTCTATTTTTGCAAGCCTCCAGTGAGGAGGGAATATTCACAACTCTGCGAGGCAAGCATTCCATTGAACTTTGGACGATCACTAAATGAACCGTTATAAGTCGAGGACTACCCATATAGCCTCTGATGGACCCTGAAAATTGCCACTGAATCCTCATCAATCAAGAAGATTCATACGAGAGGGACCTCCCCCCGCAAAAAAACATGCAAAGCCTTTGTGGTTCTCTGTCCGGCCCTTTGGTACCAGTAGATTCCAGAATCCTTCCAGTTTTGATAACATTCATCATTCAGATGGATAAACCGTGATGTTAATAATACAAATGATTCTAAAACTCAACAGTTACTTTTTTTCCCTAGTTTTTTTTCTTTCTTTTTACATCTACCACTACATTTTTCTTCCAAAAACTATGAATTTTGGAATTACACAAAAGCTTGGATGAATGATACACGGCATACGAATTTTGTTTTTTTGGCCATCTGTTGGAAAAAAACCTGTGAAACGGTTTCCCTATAAGAGATGCCAAGCTACAAATTGAAGCTATGGCACAGATTTATGAAGAATGTCCCACAAGGACTTCCTAGGATGAAAGCAGATTTATATCTTAGCATCTTTGCTTTTGTAGCCAAAAACTAATTATGCCAAAATACTTAAGATTTATGGCTAGTTTAAATTTCATCGAAGACATCGTGAATCACTTTTCCAAATGCTGGAATCCTCTCCTTGCCCAGTCAAGGCCACCAGACAGAAACACAACTCATTTTTATTTTATTTTAACTTATCTTCAGCAAGTCTAATGACTTCTCACCTGCAGCCTTGGTGCGGATGTAGACAATCTCACTCTTCGCTCCGTGAGGGTGGTAGTTCTCCATCATGGTGAGCATGACGGCTTTGACGTAAATTGCATATTGGGTCCACGGCTTCAGCGGCTGCAGTAAAATCCCTGGGTTGTCCTCTTTATTTGAAGGCAGGTCCACATCCACCATGTTCCAGCTGTTAGAACCACAGGCGTCCTGCCCATCGTATTCGGTCACGTTCTTGAAGGCTCTGAAACGGACAAGCGAGGGAGCTAGGACTGGTCCGTCTGATAAAACAGCGAATAGAAATAGAAATAGAATAGGAGAATAGACTTATAGAATGGAATGGAATAGAAGGGAATAGAATGTGGAATGGAATGGAATACAGAAAATGAATGGAATGGAATGGAATGGAATAGAATAGAATATAGAAAAGGAATGGAATGGAATAGAATACAGAATAGTCATTGAGAAAATATTAGAATGTGCAGAGATGAACATTGGCAATTAAAGAAAAAGAATGAACGGAATACAAACATGGAATGGGATTTATTTTATCAATGGTTGGAAAATAAAGTAATAAGTAAAAATTGAGTAAATGAATATATAGAGAAATAAGTTAAGATTGCCACAAAGATAAAATATGTAAGCGATAACGGCTTATAAAGAAAATGTGATTGCTGTTATTTTTGGCAAGAAAAGTATGTTAATTATAATTGTTAGCACAAGATATATGTACCCAGTCGACACGCTGTTTAAATGAAAGATGTAAATATAAAATAAGAAAAACTTATTTAAAAAAAAGAATACAGAATAGAATTTGAGTAGAACTGAATGTGGTACTTTTTTACATGAGAAAAGATGAAAACTGTTAAATATACAGAGAATCCACATAGGGAAGGTATGTATTCAGTTGTTACTTTTAATTCAATGTATTTACACTTCACCCTGTTTGCTTTTTTCCAATTTCTCTCCCCGATCAGACCTCAGCCATTTTGGAGGAATGAGACACTTGCAAGCCCCTCAAAACCAAATATAACCTTGGTCCATATGATTGCTCACTTCAGATTGAAAAGGGAAAAAAGCAGAGAAACTTGTATCCTAGATAAGTCTTGAAGGCACCTGTTTGGGAAGGTTGCTCTAAGGCCAAAAAACCAAGCATCACAATCTCCATGAAAAAGTCACACAGAAGTGCCTGATAGAGAGATGTGTGGCGTATAAACTAACTAACTAAATTAATTAATCCCACGTGCATTACTCTGATCGAGTTGTAACGTTTAAAAATGTGGTATTATCTTGACAGCATTTGCCCTTTGTTTTTAATTTAGTGCTTTCTATTAGAGATCAGGTAACAATTCTTTGTTCAACTAAATGAGAGCTTTCTTTGTATAGCCTGTCACAGTGGTACCTCAGTACTCGACTGCTTCAAAAACTCATTGAATGTGCTACATGACACCAAAATGTTGTCCTGTACTCATTGTTTGCTTGGTATTTGACCCATTGTGATAGAAAAAGGGGAACAGCTATAGAGACAGACAGGAAGTCGGCCATGCCAGAAGCTCGCAGCAAAAAGACGAGGGGAATAGCATGCAGAGGGTGGACAGGAAGTCCACCTCGCCCCTCTTTGGAAGAGCTTTATAGCTCCCGCTGCCTTAAGAAAGTTCAAAACGTTCTCAAAGATCCATCTCATCCTGGGCATCCCCTTTTTTGGAACTATTACCATCCGGCAGGCGGTACAGAATAATAAAAACAAGGACAAATAGGCTGAAAAACAGCTTCCATCCCAGGGCAGTAACTCTATGGAATTCTATCGTATAGCACGAGATTAATCCAATATCAGGGGTTTTCAATTCAACGTGTGGAGGAGTATGAAGGATGTGTGTTTGTGTTTATTTTCATAGTCATAAATTGTACACTGAAGACGGTAATTAATTTCATTGTACTCGATGCAATGACAAAAGTATAGTAAAGTCAGCTGTGGTGGGAAAACTGCTAGCCTAGGAAAAGGGTCAGACTGGATGTCCTTCCCAGCTGAAATAAAGAGCCACGTGGTATGTCACGAGGTTTGGCACTCGTCCTTTTTACTACTCATCGTGCTTCCCGGAATCAATGAATGCGTACCGGGATACCACTGTAATGTATTCTGCTCACTACTTTGGTAACTTCCAACGCATAGATTTCAACTCCCCCAATTCTCCATCTTGCAGGCTCATCTCTGAAAATTCTGGTATGTGGTCCGTATAGTACAGGAGCGTCAAACGCAAGGCTCACAGGCTTCATCCATCCTGTGGGGTGTTTGATCTGGCCCGCGGTACCTCTGCCAGCGAAAATGGAGCTCGCAAGGGCTCTTCCGGCAGAGGGTTGCAGGAGGTCATTGCAGCTGAAAACGGAGCTCGGGAGCCCGTTTTTGCTGGCAGAGAGTTGGGGCCACCGCAGGCACCCCCAGCATGAATGACAGTCATGCCCACCTCGGCTCCCCAAGCTCAAACACAACCCTGATGCGGCCCCTCCATGAAAGTGAGTTTGACCACCCCTGATATAGTACATCTGGAAGCTGCAAAGGCTGGTTAATAGCGCTAAAAAAAACAGAACACATCCTCACTTTGGCTGGAGTAACGATCTAGTTCTGCATACTCACGCTTCTTTGTAGTAGACGGTGAAGCTAATCAAATCTCTGTAATCTTTAGGGCGATACTGTTCCCATGTCAGTTTGATCCGATTTTTCATTGTAGTGTTGGAAACGAATTTCAGGATGTGACTTTCACCTGGAACACAAAAACAGCACACTTGGCTGAATTGCCACTAACACACACACACACACACACAGAGGAATGGAATTTATTACTAGGAAAGAGAGGGGGGAGAGAGGTGGCTCATGAGAGAGGGAGAGGAGGAGAGGGGGGGAGATACACACACACACACACACACACAAACACACATACATACGTACATAATCGTTTGAGTGGCTTTTTTTCTGGAAATATGCACCACAATTGAGATATTGGTTCCTTGGTTTTTGGTCAAAAGTGGATGGGTGACATTTGGAGGAGCTAAATCTCCTTCTCTGATAAAACAAGACCACAGCATGGGAATATGAGCAATTCCTTCCCGGCAGTAAATGCCTGGGTTGATCCAGATTGGATAGAGGAGGCAGCTATTTCAAGACCAAGGTGTCAGGTCCAAAAAAGAAGGTCCACTTAGACTGATTCATTGCTACACACATGCCTATGCACAGGAATTTTCTCACCTAGCAGTTAGCACCTGTTTGGAGTTAAAATTGAATTCAAGGGGGGGTTGGATTTAGTTCATTTGTGGGCTAAGAGGGGATTCTAGGCCGATTCCTCTCTTAATTCCACCCTCAGGTTCTGCCATACCTTTCCCTATGTAGCGTTGTTTCTTTCCAAACACATGACAATACGGGTCATGCAAAATATACTGTCGGGGAAACATTTTTAATTTCATTTTCCAAAAGCAAATATTAAACAACAGGAGGCGTTTCACAACGTTTCAAGCAAGAAAAATTGTCACACCATCCAGCAAATGGCACAGTCTGATGTTTCATGTACCAAAATTCGAACTTTGAAAGGATGCACCAAAATGCATTCTTCCGAGCTTTTTTCTTATACCCATACAGGGAGAAAAAAAACAGGTGACTCGATCCTACCTATGCACAATAAATTTGTGCCAGCCTCCCGTCCTCCCCAAGTGTAGGGGGCAAAGCCAATCTAACTTCACACAGGCTGGCTTTAATGGGGCCGAGTCTATTTTAAAAAGCCAAGTCTGCTCTTCGTATCTTCAAAAGCTATCCGATTGAAAACAAGTTTGAATAGTTGTTTGTTTTGCAGATTGTGGGTGTTTGTTTTTAGAGAAGCTTAATTCTTGGCTCGGGAATCCAGCCTACAATTGGATTTTTCAGTTGCTTTTTTGTTTGGATACGACACTTTGCCAAACGTTTCAAACCCTCTTCCATCCTGCACACATTTTAAAGCCCATGTAGACAAATAAGCATTTCCTCCCCCACTTTTTTTCCCCCTTTTTGTAAGAATAATAAAGAAACAAGTGAAATCTAGCCCAGACCCTGATGGTAACACGGGAGAGGGGCCAAATCTTTTACATGGGCCAAATCTTTTACAACATCTCCAAGGGGGACTAATGAATGTGTATAATGCCCCTTTGGTGTGAATACATGTCAACATGTGTATTTGGGAAACGGATCCCAGTTCCATATGCGGAGAAAAAAAAGAGGGAAAATTCTTTACAAAAAATAACATCCCAAAGGTCTATTTTAGATGCCAAAGATGGAGAGGAGACCATTTCAATAGCCTGCTCACCAATCTCTGACCAGATGCATGCAGGATGCGCACGGAACGCGCGCATGGTTTCTACAAATGAGCACAAGGCATTGATTTTTTTTTCCCAGCTAGTTTTCTGAACCCCACATCTGACTTCCAAATAACTCCCACCTATTTTACTAACTGAAGAACTACGTGCAAAATGTTGGGAGTGCAAATTCAAAGAGTGCCATGCGCTTCCATTGGCCGTCCTGTACCATTGATGGAAAGATTCTGTTCTTGTGACTCAGGAGAGGTGGAGACTGTTCCATTTTACACAGAGATTAGGAAAAAAAGCCTTTTCTGCCAATAACTGCTAGGTATCCTGGGCGCACTGATACTACCTATCTTAAGGATGAACAGTCCACAACTATAGCGTAGGTGGACAGATTCTGCGCAAAAGCACTGAGGATTCGTTGCAAACGTGTCTCTTCTCCACCATAGTTAAAGTATATATAACAAAAGTGGCAAACTCTTTACACTGCTTAGTCTTTTCCCTTTTCATGTTGAACCTACAACGGGCCACGCAGTTTATGGATTGTAATTTCACTATAATTAGACCATGTATAATTTTCAGACCGGATTTTATTAGATTTTAGTTGTTATTTATTATTTTGCACTAGAATTTTTAATTGTATATTTACTGAGTGTTTTTATTTGTTTTGGTCTCTGGTCTAATCTTCAATCGAGGATGTGTATGCTGCACGAATCAAAAAGAGGGCTGTGAAAATATCTACAGACCCCACACATCCAGGACATAAATTGTTTCAAATTCCTACCCTCAAAACAACGCTATAGAGCGCTGCACACCAGAATTAGACACAAAGACAGTTTTTCCCCCAATGCCATCACTCTGCTAAACAACTAATTTCCTCAACACTGTCCAACCATTTAGAAAGTCTGCACTACTATCACTATTAATCTTCTCATCACTCCTTATCACCCATCCCCTCCCACTTGTGACTGTATGACTGTAACTGTCACTTGTATCGTTACGATTTATATTGACTGTTTCCTAGTACAATTTGATTGCTTATTGTACCCTATGACTTTCATTAAGTGTTGGACCTGATGATTCTTGACTCTTGATGAATGTATCTTTTTCTTTTATATACACTGAGAGCATTTGCACCCAGACAAATTCCTTGTTTGTCCAATCACACTCGGCCAATAAAAGAATTCTATCTATCTAAAGACGGTAATAAACTGATTGAATGAAAAGAGTGACTAAAACCCACACAAAGGGAACAACAGCAAAAAGTCCTCAACATCCCAAACTCTTTGTCATTTAAACGCCTCAATTTGTATTTGGGTTTTTTTCCATGTGGCTTTTTAGTTGTTAAGTTTAACAGAAACTTTGGTGGGATGGATGAAAGAGAAGGATGCTATTTAACAGGCTAACAGAGTGGGAAAGGACCTTGTAGGTCATCTAGTCCAACCCTCCGCCCAAGCAGGGGACCCTACACCATTTCTGACAAATGGCAGTCCAGCCTCTTCTTGAAAGTCTCAGTGATGAAGCTCCCACAACTTCCGAGGGCAAGCTTTATTTATTTATTTATTTGAGATATGGAGCAATCCAGAATTGGAATGACATGAGGAAAAGGAGAACACGCTGAGGACCAGTTGCCTGTCTGTGCATGTTCCAAATCACCTTTTTGCATCTCAAGTCTGAATCACTACAAACCTCCTGTTATTTAAGGTCAGGGGGAAAAACAATTTCTGGTTATTTCATCCCAACACAGTGTCCTCACGTACAGGATGCCTTTTCCCCATTGTTCCTCGGATTGATGTCGCCTTTGCTTTGTCGATCTTTGGTTCCAGTCACCTCCTCCATTTGGTAAATCTCCGAAACGCACAATTTAGGATTAAAAGCAAAGTACATCTTTCCTTCTTTGATGGTCAGGTTATGATGGCTCCAGTCCCACAGTTGCTGCAAGTTTTGGTTGTCCAGCACATAAAACGAGTAATTCCTAAAAAGGAAATGTTTGGAAAGCAAAAAAAATAAAAATAAATAAACAATCAGTCCGTGTAAACAGAGGCACACATTTTTTTCATTTCCAGACCTAATTTAGGTCTCCAGGTTGTAAGTTGGAAACCGTCGTTGCTTTTAAAGCTGAAGAAGTGACAAACTTCTTTAGCCCTAAATAATCTTCAGCCCTTGTTGGTTTCAGCTCCGTCTTTCCTCTAGAACCAGAAATAGTTTAAAAGAAAGAAAACTTTAGAAAGAGCGCACAGAAGAGCAACAAGAATGATTAAGGGTCTGGAGTCTAAACCAGGGGTCTCCAACCTTGGCCACTTTAAGCCTGGAGGACTTCAAC